TTCTTAAAAAAATTAAAAGATAATTAGATTTCTAAAACGTTCAATACAATTGATACGGCACTATCTTGAAAAGACATTCTTTCATTTATTCGTGTTTGGTTACGACAATGTATACAGAACAGAACGACATAACATTGAGTATTTCAATCGACAAGCACACATAACATACACGCACACATAACATACACGCACACATGTACACACGCGTATATACATTTAACTCGATAGATAACGGCATACTTTTTGAAATATAACTGCGTAAACGTGCGATATTTCACGCTCTTTGTTAACATTCTTATGAATGGCATAAAACAAAAAAGAACTGTAATGCCTTAATTATGTAATATAAACATATTTTATCATTTTTTTTATATTATCAAAACGTTAGATTATTTGATGTATCAATTGCACGTAACATTATGACTGGTCTATGATGCAAGAGTACATCATTGTACAATACACATTTTTTAACGTTGCGAAAATTAAAGTTTAATGGATTATGAAGTAAAAGAAGAAGATAGCTTACGTGACAAAGTCATAAGTACGCCAATCCTATTTAATAAAATTAATTTTAGTTTAAAAACGAAAGAGCTAGCAAGGCAGAAAAAGTTAATTGATACAACATGCAGTGTATTACATAAAATACATAATATGTATATGGTGTTTTAAATTTTAGTATAGAATTTATACCAAATAGACAATAGCGACTGATCTTAAAAAAATGTATAATAACAATACGCCCTGTTATAACTGTATAACTCAATAGTATAATCTGCAAGATATTACATTGGGATAATTTCTTAAGAGAAAGATGCTTATGATATTTTATCTTAACATCACACGAGTTATCCCATAACTCTTTTCCATTTGCCTATATCTTGTATAATACATACTATATAAATACACAATACTAGATCATCCTAAATACAAATATTATGTCTCCTTTGTAATATATGTAGATATATATTTTCCCTTTTTCAAAGTAAATATTAGATTATTGGGAGGTATTTTTATATTTAGCATAAGTATTAATTTATGTTAATGTAATGTAATTTATTACAAACTAATGCTTATGTTAAACACAAAAATAGGTTTGCGATGAATTAATAAGTACTCTTAAAAAAAAAGGAAATGTATATCTGTAATCTGCACATTAACATATATTACAAAGCAAACATAATACACATATTTAAAGCATCTGAATAATCATCACAGCTATATTGAATCGTGACATCGAAAGCGAAAAATGACATGTTAATTTTTGTTATGTGCCATTTGTAAATAAAGACAATTTGGATAAAACAAAATGATGACATCGCTTTAAAACAATTATAAAAATGGACGAAAGCTATTCTTATTTCGCCTGACAGTCGATAAATAATCGTAAAAAGTGATAAAAAGCACGTGAAAGTGAAAATAAACTACGCATGTGCATTGAATTTATTTACAAATAACACGTAATAAAAAATGTGTCATCGCTTTTTGATGTTACGATTCAATATAGCTGTGATGACTACTCAGGAGCCTTAATACTTATAAATAATTATTCTTGTATTATTAAATCAGTGCTGCATGTGACACATGTGCTATATAAAATCAACTTTGTTGTGTCCATATAATATAATAAATGCATTATCAAGACGATTTTAAATATCCCCCAAAAGAACATTGCAAATACTCTAAAAAATAGCGAAGCGCTAAATCTTTGTATGTTAGACTTTCTATAATATTCGTCTGCTTTATATTAGATATAAATCTTTATATGCTGGGTTTTGCTATATATTGTACGTTTATACATATTGTATTTTTTAAGTTGGATCTCTATTCTATACGTTATATCTTTGTATACGTTAGGTCTATTTTCACATATTGCATCTTTTATATAGTTGGATATTTTCACATATATTTTGCAAATGTTTTGCGTTTTAATAAATAAAATTATTATATTTATTACACAAGTTAAATTTTAGAGACATCAAAATTATTGGTATTAATATTAGATATTCTAGATTTGACTATTTTTTATATATTTCAATGAAATTAAAAGCAATTTTTTTCAAAAATTTAATGTTGAAGAAAATCATAAGATAAAGTGAGAAAAAAGAAATTAGAAAAGAACGAAAAGCCTGAAGAAGTAAATAGTAATACAAAAAATGGTACAAAATCGCCAAAAACTAACAAAGAACATGATAAAGTGAAAGATGATAAAATGATAAAAGAGAAGTCAGAGAAGAGTGAAAAATATGAAAAAGTAAAGCAAATATTATAAGTCAGCCGAAATATAAACACAAAAAAAAAGGGATAAATGCGATAGTAAGGATCGAGAAAAGAAATAGAAGCAAACACGAGAATAATAATTATTAGATTTCATATTTTTAGACAAATTATTAGTAAATTATAGTGTAGTAATATAAAATGGTAGAAGAAAAAACTTGGGAAAGAAAATAGATTTGTTCTTATTGCAGCATTAGAATTGCACTAGATCTGAACTGAACGAAAACTGAGCGAGGATGTAGTGCAAATAGGTAATAAAAAACGTTGTAGTGCAATCATGGTGGACATGTTCGATCATGTATTAGGTTGAGTAAAAAGTAACTTCGCATTTTTAGATTTTAATTGTCACCTAAAAATACGAAGTTATCCAATAGAATTATTAGATTCATTTGATTAAGAAGATGTAATTACAATTTAATATTAGAAACAATCTTAATCAAAGATAATGATGATAAAAATACAGATGACATATATAATTACATTTAGACAATGTTATTAATACAGTAATGGGTAAGATACTCTTAAAATTTATCTAGATACAGATACAGTTACATGTACGAAAATTTAACTAAGTACAGATATAGATACACATATTAAAATGTATATAGGTACAGATATCAGATACTTTAAAAGTATTTTCAGATACATTTCAGATATTCTTACATTAATTTTATTGTAATAATGGTAATGTGTAAAAAAAAGTATTAGTTATTAAATGAATCATTTATTCATTTATTTTTGTTACATTTAGATAATTGAAAAAATTTATAACTATCGTAAAACGATTCAGAATAAGAATTATAAGATGATATTATTCATCATTATTCATCATAGTTTTACAAATTAAAAATGCTTCAAACATTGTGTTTCCAGCTTAATTATACACGCGTTAGAAATTCCACAGTCTAAGGTTGCGTTCATCAGAAAAAGCAGCTGTGTAACTGTAAAATTCTTTAATATGACTGATTTGTATTTAGATTCAGTGAGGAACTAAGGGAAAGACCAATCATGTTATAGAATTTTACAAAGTTGCTTTTTTTCTGCGGAATGGAATCAATCAACAATCATATACAAAATGGAATTGTGACTATGCTAAGGAAATGTATCTGAAAAATGCATTTGAAAATCAGTTCAGACGCTGTGTTTTTTTATCTAGATATAGATACAAATACTCGAATTTTAATGTACCTCAGATACAGGTTAGATACACAAATCTAGATACATGTATAGAGATACTACCCAACAATGTATTAATATCATATATATGCAAAAGTTATGTTTTACTGAACGTAACCATTTCCGCGTGTTCCATTCCTGCACTGCTTGCACTGACTCTAGACCTAGTGCAGCCAGTTCAGTGAATTTTTGCACCGAGTTTCGCTATATTGCAATAAAGAGGTGTCGTTCATACCACCAAGTCTGCAATAAAGAACGCTTCAGTATATATTTCTTATACTAGTTCTGTAGTTCAGCAATAAAAAAACAAATCTAATGATAAAGTAAAGAATAATAAAGGACGAAGAATAATAAAGACAAAAGAGAGAAAATTTGAAAAAGTAAAGATACGATAAAAATCGTCTGAAACATAATCATAAAAAAGAGAAAGAAGAATAATCAAGATAGGAAAAACTAAAAGAAGCATATTGGTGTATTAACAACAAAAATCAAGCAGAATCTACACTGATAAATTTATAACGTCAAATTATACCCAATTTGAGTTATTTTTTATTATTTCTATAAGTCGCTACTTTTTTAATATGTCGTAAATTTAACTAAAATATGAAGTTAAACAATTTAACTCAAGAAAATGTATTAAATGTATTAATTTAATTCAAATTTAGCTTAAGGATATTAAGCCAACGTGGTTGTTTATGCTAATCTATTAATCTGTCATTACTATCATACAACAATCGTGTAACGCAAACGTTTTGATCTTTATGTAAGTCATCCTCCAGTGTAATACTTTAACATAAACAACTGCGTTGGATATGCTCGTGGCAATTAAACAATCAGCGTGCGCACCGCAAGCATATGAGAGGCGTAACACAGGCCAGAGGCCTAACGTAAGAAGAACTGTGTTGGCTTTAATGCTCCTTAATATCCTTAAATTGAGTTAATCATAAAGCCTTTTTGTTAATTATAATTCAAATTCGGTTTATTATTTACTAAGTATATACATTAATATGGATGTTTACTTTAAAAATAACTACAGAAATTGATTTATATCATTTTGATGCACATAGAAGTCAAAAATAACATATTACTTAACTTAAAGAATTAGATTGTTATTGCTACTTTGATATCTAACAGTTTACTGTATTAAACAATACAGTATGAAGGCTAATCAGCAATAGATTTTGCTCGAATTTTGCTATCAATATATTCAATGTGTCAGCACAGTCAGCAGAATGCATTCAGCAAAGTTTACTCGATTTCTATCACTAATCACTGGACTATATTACAGATGCTACTTGATCTTTGCTATTATTATATTTTCTTGGCAAATTTTGCCAATATATATATAAATTATATAGCAGCATTTGCTGATAATTTCTTAAGAATTGTGTGAAAAAGAACTAAAAAAATATTTTATTTTACATATTATACTTACTATCACAAGAGTCTTTAATCTGCACAAATTACTGCAAATGGTGTATTTCTAATCTGCATAAAATATTGCAATAATACGATTAAACTGAAAAATGTATTCAAAAATTCTTCTGGGGTCTCACGAATAGTAACATTTTTATCATTAAAAAGTCTGTTATCGATTAGATCGATAAGATCATATGACCTTTTAAATATATCTATATAAATTAATACGTCATGCCTTTTATATTACAGATGGTCACGATGCAGAGAAAAACTGTTGAAGACGCTGCACAGTTCTACGATCCAATGCACACAGATCAAAATCAAATGTCTTCTTAGTGATTTCATATTGACCAGTTTCTGCAATTACTTGTACAACTCTTTGTAGCTCGTCATTATCTTGCAATGTCATTATTTTTTGTTGCAAATCCTTTAGTTGTGATACATAATCCTCAGAAAACACTGGCGGTTCACTGATGTCTGCATCAGTACTATTTGTAGAATCTGGAGCTACTTGTTCAGGATCATTATTTTTATTGTTTATATTGTCAGCCATATTGACAACATGATCGTCCTTCTCCTTCTTTACCTCCTTTTCTAAATGATGAGTAGTATCAACATCCATCACGACTGGAGATTGGCTCGATGAAACTGGTTCCAAAGGTGGAGAGGTTGATTGACCCCTCTTCTCACGTTTTATTAGAACTTCGTCATCTTCTTTGCTTCGCTTCCTTTTCCGATTTTCTCTCTCTTCGCCTCTACTTCCTTTGGACTTGTCTCGTCTGCTACGATCACTCTTCTCTTTCTTCGCCTCCACCGATATACCAGGAGAAAGTGGTTTTGCTGTTTCTGATGGTACAGTGGATATTACATGGTCTGGCTCCTTTTTAATATTAGATTTACTTTCAGGTAATGAATCGTCATCTATCGAAGGTGCTGAATCGCTACTGTCTCTTTCCGGAATCTCTGTCAAAAGGGATGATAATGGATTCCCGATTAGTGAAGATGCGTTATTCTGTTTTTCACTCTCATCCTTACTCCTATCACGTTTCTCTTTCTTTTCTCGATCTTTACTATCTCGTTTATCCTTTTTCTCTCTTTTTTTATGTTTATGTTTCGGTCGATCTTTATCGTATTTGCCGTCTTTTGCTTTTTCAGGTTTTTCACTTTTCTCCGACTTCTCTTTTATCACTTTATCCTCCTTCACTTTATCATTTTCTTTACCAGTTTTTGGTGATTTTCTATCATCTTTTGACGATTTGTGTTCTTGAAATTTCTCCTTGTCTGATTTCTCTGCTTTATCCGTTTTTTCAGATTTTTTCTCGATTATCTTTGTGACATCTTTAACATTGGTTTTTTCTGATTCTTTATATTTATCCTTTCTTTCTTTGTCCCTATCATCTTTGTGTTTCTTCTTATCTTTCTTCTTTTCAGACTTTGAAGAAGAATCTACATCATTTCTGGAGTTATTTTTCGCCTTTTCCTTTTCTTTACTATCTTTCTCTTTTTCCAGTGTAACTTTCTTCATCTCCTTTTCTTTTGATTTAGGAGATAGAGATCGTTTTGTAGATGGCAAAGGACTTAACGGCTTCTTTGTTGCGACAGGTGATGCCGGTCTTTTGCTACCAGGACTCGAATGACTTTTACTTCCAGGACTAGGAGGTCTCTTGGATTTATCTTTACTCCTAAGTTGATCCTTAGAACTGTCTCTAACCTTTTTATCCTTCTTCTCATCTATTTTGTCTTTTCTATTATCTTTATGAGGACTTTCCTTTGATTTAATTGTTTTATCCACTTTGTCAGATTTTTCGGTAACAGCTAAAGGTTTAGGAACTAAATTTTTATCAGATTGACTTGTCTTTTTGCTATCTGGTGATATCTTTACAGGCGCTGTTTTTATAGGAGGGCCAAATAAATCGTGAAACGAATTAGAAGTTTTAGATTCGGTAATACGATGCTTCTTGCTTTCGCTGCCATTTAATTTTGGTTTGCCAACCATCGTGGATGTTTTTGTATCACTTTTTTCTAATGAACCATCTCTACTAGATACTACAACCTAAAATTATAAAATATAATTAGAAAAATTATTATATTAATATATAACATACCAATACATTGCTTAATATATTGACATTTATTATACATATTTTTTGTAATATATTCTACTTCATAATATAAACACAATAATCTACAAATATTTAAATAAAAACTAGACTTACAGCTCCACCTTTCAAAAGTTTTTTCCTAAAGTCATCAGAAGGATTACGAAGTACTTCTACATGGCGTATAGTCTTGTTAATAGGCGGACCACTTGGCTGCAAATGCAGATCGTACGATATTTGAAATTTCTTGGGTTCATCTTTATTCTTCAGATAAATTTCGATCGGTATTATAAAGCCTGCATAACCAGATTCTTTCACCACAAATGGTGGTTCTTTGAGTACTCTCTTAGGATTCCGAAACGTATCATGTAAGAGAAATACCACTAAAAATATAAGAAAAGTTGTTTTTATGACAAGAAAGTCTAAAAGAATAACATTTACAGTGTAAAGATAAGTAATACGATAATGTGTCAAGTTATATAAATAAAAAAAAAGAATGAAGAAATACAAATATTGTTTTTGACTTAGTGAGTTTGAACCAATCTGGATTGGATTATGAACGTTACATGGCTTTACCATCGACTAATGTTACATGCTCTATCAATAGTAGAGCATACAACGTCATTAATCCAACATTGTCCAACTCCACTATGAGTGAACATACTAATAGAATTATAAGGATTGGATTAAGGAGAAGATATACCTTTCTCAATGTAATGATGTATATCTGCATTATCCACTCCTCGTACAAATACCTCCCAATCATGCGTGTATCCCTCAGGAGTGCTACGCATACGTAGCATCGAGGTATGTCCGCATTCCAAAGTGATACGCACTGCCATCCTCTTGTACAAACAATTTCAATCACTTTGCAAAAAAAAGTACCACGAAGTAGCCTTAGTTCCACAGATGGACACCGACTACCATTTACATTTTTTCAATCATCCTCATGAAAGCTACCGACGAAAATGATTGCTAGAAAATCACCGGGTCGCACGCGAATCTTTTAGAATCACCGTGTGCAAGCGGGCAACATCGCAGATCCACCTCGTACTACAAGCGAGCGTGAATGACAACGCGTGTTTCACGATCATTAAGGCACGCGGAACGCGGGCGCATATATTCCACCACGGTACGCACTTGGTTTTTGTATGAAAATTGTCACCGTTACGGCGAAGAATCGACGCTTTATCGCGCACGTGACTCACCGAGAATATACCGCTTCGCGGAAGACCGCTCTTAATCGCCAATTCTCTTGTGTTAGATCGACCTCGAGACTATCAACAGGTAAACCGTACAGTAACGAAGCTCGTCGGCATCGTAGACGATCTTCGTCCTTCTCCCGTATGATCTGCGTAAACCTTGTACCCCGCTCACTCTTCGCCGTGTTCGCCGTATGTTCTGGTATGTTCGTGAAAAATTGAAACTGCCATCTGTCGGTGCGCGAATGGCTAGTTAAAAGCCCGTTTATATGAATCCACAGGTCTGTTTTTTATTGCTGCACTCTCTGAACTGGTGCACACGGTGCAATAAGTTGAAGTGAAACAAGTATACTTTTGTTTCATTTCAACTTATTCCACCGTGTGCACCAGTTCAGAGAGTGTGCAACAATAAAAAAATAGACCACACGTCTGGACAAACTAGTTATATGGATGCGTTTTAAAACTCATCAAAAAGGTATCACCAGAAAGAAACCTGAGACAGGACGTGAGAACCTTTTCCCTGTAATCGCAAACTGCTCCCGCGCACTACTGCCCTCTGAAGAAGTGGATGTTTGAATATTCAAACAAATTAATCTAGCGAATTTTGTCTTATAATACGCGTCTGCGTAAAAATGGAAAATTACAAAGTTATGTTTTTTTATGCAAATTTTCAGCTTGTTTTTAACATAATTACTAGTATGTAAATATATTCCAAAGTTTCTATAATCACTAATCACTAGCAATTACAGAGTCTTTGAATACACTTCAAACTTTTCAATCGCATATCGTTAAATTAACTTTTAGCAAAAACGAGCTAGAGGCCCTCCACCACCCCCGCCAATTTTATCGGCGGTCCTCTTTTCTTTGTAAGTATACTCACGTGTAAAAAAATGAGCTACTAATAAATTTAGTAACCTATTTTTGCAGGTAAGTAATATTTTTAATTTATTTTTTATTTTTATGTCTAATTATTTTATTGTATTTTTTTCGATAATGATATTATATTAAATTATTTAATATTATCTTTTTATTGAAATCCTTTATACAATTCAATATTACAATAATAACAATTGTTTACAATAAAATATACAATCATAAATACTGTTCAAAATATAATAAAAGTAATATTATAGGAGCATAACTAACAAATTTTAGTAATGCGGGATTATACGAAAACGTCGAAAATACGTACAACAACTTTTGTGATTATATGTTTCGTCGATTTCGTATAATTGACATCAATTATGCAACAATTTGGTTTACTATGACAAGATAAATACTATCTGTATTGAATAGATATTAAGTACGTATATATATATGTATATGCCAGTAAATGCAGTATAATTTATTAATAATTCGTTGTGCAAATTACAAAAATATGATGGCATTTATTTGGACATAGTTTACATAAATTTTGTATTGCGAACCTAATACTATTATACATACATCTATTTACAATTAATTATAATATTAATTGCGTTACATAGTTAAATGCGTTACATAACGTGTATAGAATTGTAACAAAAAGTTTAATTTCAGGATAGCTGAAAATTTAATAAAATTTGAAATTAATTTGGTTTATTTTTATATTTAATAATTGGAACGGGATGCTGTGATAATTAAATAAAACTTAAAATTAATTTAAAATTTTATTCAATTTTTAATCCTTCCTTTTTAATTATCAAGCATGTATGTATGATGTTTATTCCTACCTATCCATAGACATCGTCCTACCTATACAGTTCCTACCTATCCATATTTATTGTCCTACCTACCCGAATTTTCATTTATTTGTGCCTATTCGCGTATATCTATCTCCACTCACGTATTCCCCGCATAAAAATATACTACTAGTGCAATAAGTAAATTCGAATAGTGTAATAGTGGTGGAGAAAATTTCATTAAAATTACACTGAAATTTTAATGAAATTTTCTCCACCATTATTACACTATTCGAATTTACTTATTGCACTAGTAGTATATTTTTATGCGGATCCTACCTACATTATCTCATAAATGTGCAAAAACACAGCGAATTTAATACATTAATGGCTACGTATAGAGAAAGTAATTTATCGACTGCTGTAAAATTCTTCGTATTGAAGAATCTACCTCGAATAGATCCTCTTCTTTCTTCTAGCCAGATTGAACTCACCTTTAGTTACTTCTGACCAATATTCTGGCTTTATATACCAGAAATCAACAAGGAGAAATACTCCTTTTGCTGCCGACTGCTGCCGACTAACATCGTCAGCAATAAGCGTAAGATTTTATGCTTTTGTACGCGCGAAACACGAACGCGTCGCGAAGGAGCCATCATATTAATAAAATTGACTAAATATTAATCTGAATAATTATCAATAACAATAATAATAATAATAACTCTAGTAACATACAAATAAATTTCGCGTTTATTCAAAATTAAAAATATAAATACTCAAAAATAAATTTTAATTAAAAAATCTTTATGTCAACAATGTTTTAATTTCAAATATTACGAAACTTGATTAAATTTCCTAATATGGACTTTATAATATAATCAACAAAACTTTAATTTAAAAATAAATAACTGAAAATTACTAAATCGATATCATCTAATAAAATTCAAGGCCCATGTACGTATTTTTAACGATTCGAACGATTCTGAATCTCATCTCAAAGCATGCGGAGATAAAAAATTCAGATGAATGATGCAAGATCCGAAAGGGATAATTTTCCCTCACGCACATACACACAGAAAAATACGCAAGTAATAATTACTCTATGCAAGTAATAATAATTTATTTCAAGTATTTCAAAACTTCATATATCCGAAAATTTATCATAATTTTTCATTAGAAGTATTAAATTTATTTAAAATATATTCTGAATCCTATCAAAGTGTTTAATACTTCAACCAAGTTTATTAAATTAAAAGAAATCCGATATACTCATTATGAAAAGTTTATTTCTTCGATGAATTTTATAATATTTATCAAAAGAAAATAAATTCTTGATTCGAGTACATAATAATGAGTTTTTCTAAAATTTTGTAAGTAATAAGTATATTTTAAGATTATTATCAAGAAAATATATTCTTTGTTAAAAATAATCATTACGTGAAAAGAAAAAATAAATTGAATCACTTTTCTTAGCAGCAGAGATTGATATTTTTCTGTGTGCATTAATAAACATATCTCTTTGTATTTTATAAATTATTGGAATCATTTTTTGTATAATTTATTGTTTCAAAATTAAGTATTTTAAGTGACGCAAAACTTTGAACGCGATTTTAAAATAAGTACGAGGTAAAATTCTTTTATTTCTTGACAAAATGCATATTGGATCTTACATCATGTTACTACTTTAACTGGTATAAAATCCAGTTACTACGTATGGATAAGTTGTAAAAGATTAGGCTAAAGTAAGTGCATTGAGATAATTAGTAATAATTAATAATCATAAATTATCTTTTATAAAAAAGCGAGATTAATAAATTGTACGACAAATGCGCTACATTAAAATATTTGTTATTTCATTAGTAACATGTATTCAAATAACTATGAAGCAATACAAAGAATATCTTTGAAAACAATATGTATTATACACATATGTGTACGTATATTGCTTTTCTCTGCACCAACTTAAATAAAATTTAATCCTGAACGTAGATTTGAGAATAAGATAGATAGAAAGAATAATAAAACTATACTTATTCCCGGTAAAAAATTTTTCATGCACGAATATATATAAATATGTATTGTACAAACGTACATAAACATACATAAATATTCATAAACATACGTAATTATGTATGAGATATAGGCCAGTCATTCTAGCCGAAAAAAGGGGGTTTGCTAGAAAGTGATGACAATTTTGTAATTCCTTTTCTGGCGTGTTGGGGGTGTTGAGAAAAGCTTATTTCCAGATTGTCGTATCCCCAGACCCTACACATTTTGTAGGGGGGAGGGGGACGTGAAAAATCAGTTTTTTCGCAATAACTCGGTCAATTTACAACGAAAATGGACGTACGACCTCTCATTTTGTAGGTATTTTCAAGCCCTACAAGACCCTTTTATACTTACACGTAGCGTAAAAATATTATTATTCAACATCAATATATCGATGCTTCCACCGACGACAAGTGCTGCTCGTCAACACATCTTCAGGACCTATTTGCAAGTCCAAACTTGGTTGGGAAACTACAAAGATCCCGAGGATTGGGGATGGAGAAGAAACAACGGGATTTTGGAACCGGTGTGCAATAAATCTGAGCCAGCACCTCAGGATTTGTTAAAGATCCTCGCCTGCAAATGCAAGGGGAGATGTGGTGCAGCATGTGGCTGCAGAAAAGTGGGCCTCACATGCTCCTCCATTTGCAAAAATTGCGACGGGGAATCTTGCGATAATACTCCTTCCATCGATGAAGATGTCGTCGACAACGAAGACGACGTTGAATTTGATGATGGTCCCAACCTTCAATACTACACCAGCGAGGACTACGAAGACGTCACTTCTTTAAACGATTCGATATCCATCAACAACCCCTTCAACAACGACGACGTCAGTTACTGGAATGAATCGACTTCATCCACGTCAGCGAAACGACGAAAAACAGATGATACAAATTATAAAATGTGACTTATAAAATGCTTTGAATTTTGAACTATTTCTTTTTGTTATGTAACTACTTTATTCAATACTTCGATTATATATTCTTTTTGATATGTAACTACTTTATTCAATACTTCGATTTTTTAATAAATATAAAAGAATTATACAAATTTTTGTCAAGTGTTTCATTATTAATATTACCCTTTTCCAAATACTTACATAATTGACAATATTACAAAATATTTTTTTGTAATATTAAAGTAATATTAAATACACTTTCAATGCATGTTGAATAATAAAATTTTTACGCTACGTGTAAGTAAAAAGATATATATATATATTTTTAAATATAAATAAAAAAGATGTGTATTTTAACAATGTATTGTTAAATTTCTATAGCACATTAATATAAATTACATAGTTATACTAATTGAAACAAGCATTTCTTGATAATTAAATGTTTTTCGGACAATTCTTATTCAATTTTTTATGAATTTACATGTTATGTACGGAAAAGTAGGCATATTTTTATTATAAACAAACATTCTTCATGTTATTTTCACATTGCATTTATCACAAAACAGTCGTACGCGAAAACCCCGTTCAATTCCGAGCATTACATTCGACGCAGTTGCGCGAGTCCGCCAGGCTCTCCTGGGCTCAATTTACATCGAATCGAAACAAATAAGTAGGTTAAATTAAAGGTAATTTCAAGGGCTACAACTTTTGTAGGAAAGAAATTTCACGATATACTCACTGAAACGAGATAATGAGAAAAAACCAAAAAAGAAAAAATTTTTTGGACCGTTTTTCGGCTGTAAAAAAAATTAATAATTTTAGGTTAGGGTCGTCAAAAGGGTCTTGTAGGGCTTGAAAATACCTACAAAATGAGAGGTCGTACGTCCATTTTCGTTGTAAATTGACCGAGTTATTGCGAAAAAACTGATTTTTCACGTCCCCCTCCCCCCTACAAAATGTGTAGGGTCTGGGGATACGACAATCTGGAAATAAGCTTTTCTCAACACCCCCAACACGCCAGAAAAGGAATTACAAAATTGTCATCACTTTCTAGCAAACTCCCTTTTTTCGGCTAGAATGACTGGCCTATACAGCTCCTAACATATTCATTGGTTACCGCGTCGCATTTTGCCGCGCGGCAAGCGTTTCCGCGTCCAGTGTGCAGAAGCCATTAGTACCTACACACCTTCGTGTTCGTAGATATCTATAATTTTCATGAATGAATGCGACATCTGGAGCAACTCGTAACACAGCCGTCTCCCTCCGAAGTCGCCGAGTGAATGTCGAAATGACGTAGTCAACCGCGCTTCTCTCGCTGTTCGCGCTCCCCCTCCCTATTCGCGCTCCCCCACGCTATTCGTCGCGCGCCGTTTGGATACTCAATTATTTGAAAAATATTCACCGTTTATTCAATTAAATCCTATTTTACATGATTTTGACAAACGGGTATCGTCGAACATTTAGCGCTTTGCTTTGTAGCATCTCTGGCACTAGTTTAATCCTATATTACTTTCGCGGTTCTTTTAATTATTGGTAATTATTCGCGTGTGTGAGGTGTTTTTGTCATTCCAACATTAAGTCTCAATTATTTTATTATATTTTTAAATGATTCATACTTAAACAAAGGTTGATAATATTCTATATATCCTTTACGTAACGATACATGCAAAAAAAGTCAGAAGTGTATTTATTTAAAATAATATAGTAATAAAATACTATATAACTCTTTTATACTTTTTATTTAAAATATATACTTTAAATAGTTTTATTTAACCCTTACTACACACCTTAGTTTTGGGTTACGACTCTACAAATCGTCTTATGATGGGATTGATTGAAGGAAAAATGCTTACTTTTCTCGTAGACTTTATTGCGCACACGATTATTCCGCCATTTCCGCCATATATGATCTAAGGGGGGACGAATCGATAGATGCGACGCGGAACGGAGAGACAAGAGACTATTCGGGAATCGGTCGGTAAAAAAGGGGTCGGAATGGCAGGGCGAGGTAAGCGCATAGGGCGCAATCCTAGATTAATCCAGAATTGGATAGTACCCTTACTATATTCAAATTGGGTCACATTCTTGTTCTGGATTAATTTTCATCACTTTTACAAGTATATAAAAATTATTAAACTATTTTTACATATATTTGACATCTTTAGATAGATTTGTAAAGTTGTATATCTATAACAATTTGTGTATGCTCCTCATGAAAATAAATCAGATTCTCCTGATGTTCAATAGGTCTGTTCACGTTGCATAAAATTCCCTAATATTTTTGCACTTAAAATGAGATAGATATATTTAGCCTTGAAAAGAGAGAAAGCAAAGATGCCGAGTGCAAAATGTGCAAGTAACGCAAACAGACCTAATGAATGAAAGAAGTGTTGATAATGTTGGTCAATGTTGGTTTGCATAGCACATCTATCGAGACAGGTTTGTTGTCATGTTTGTTTTTTAATTGTAATTGACTTTTGATAATTGGCGATTCCTTTTTTTCTCTTTCTTTGGCTGCGTTCAGAAACGCATTAAATGTTAAACAAGGACAGATGATGAATCCAAAGCATCGGAGACATCCGAGCGACGTTTCCGAACGCAGCCACTGTGTTATCTCATCTTTTGCTAACACCTAAACATTGTTCAAATCCAACTTGTAAGAGAGTGCAATAAAATTATTATTGTTATATATTTATTTTAAATGCAGAATAATCAACACGAGATATTTAATACAGTTTTAGGCAGCAACTGTCAAAAATGTTATCTGCAATCGTCAAAGAACACCAGAGCAAGCAAGCTGTGAGAAAAGAAAGGCAAGGTAGAATATGTCAGTTATTTAATTATACCAAAGATTTATATGATGATTACTAAGTATAATCTCTTTAAAACGTGTGAAATGATTTAACAGAGCAAAAGCGGAAAGATGCCGTTCAAGCTGCAAGCAATCTGACACAAGCCCTTGTTGATCACTTGAATGTTGGGTAAATAAAATTTTTGTTTATGATTTGATCTAATTCATAGACAGGCATGTATGAATGATGATACCTGTGTCCCATCCATGTATCTTAATGATTAAAAAACAAGCTTTATCATTTACGCATAAGTACATAATGTTTAGTCTTACATACACATATACATAAGTATTTATACGATTAAAGTTTTGTTGTTATCATTGTTATAGTGTAGCTCAAGCATATTTGAATCAAAAGAAACTAGACGCTGAAGCAAAGCAACTACAACACAGTGCAACCAATTTTGCTAAACAAACGCAATTATGGCTGAATTTGGTAGAATCCTTCTCAAGCTCTTTAAAAGAAATCGGAGATGCAGAAAATTGGGCACGTAGTATAGAAGGAGATATGAGAACCATAGCCACAGCTTTGGAATATTCATACAAAGGTATAAAGCTAATAAAATGTGTATAATTATATCTTTGTACAAAATGTACGTAATATATTGTGTATTATTTTTTTAGCCACGCAAGAGAATCAAAGTGTTGGCAATGTTTAAGGATATGTGATATGTGGAACATTGTTTTTTCTAAGTATAATATGGTTATTGTCAGGAGTAATATGAAGATTTTTTAAAATAATTTCGTGATGTGGGTGATAATTTTATTTTGTTAAGATATAGAGTTAATGTGATTTAAGTTGTCAAAGAAAAAACTTGTCTACATAGTTTTTTTTCATGGAGTTGAATTGTATGGACTTAAAGCATATTGTTTTAATTAAAAAGAACTATTGAATTGTTAGTGAGATGTATACATATTTTATTTAGTATTCAGAATACTTCTGTGTTTCGTTAATTTTATAATCTGGTATATTATATAATAAAAAACTACTGTTATAACATGATATTTGTACTAATATAATTTTTATAGTTTTTGTTTAATATAAATAGCCATAAAGAAAGATCTAGAAAAGCACATTATTTTAAAGTAAATTAAAGATATATTTAATAATTTTTATGTAATTTATGGGTTTTTTTCATTAATGTAGAATTATATTTATTTGATATCAAGATATTCCTTAATGTCAAACGTACTTTTTTAATCTATTTTCCAGGGTAACGCGCGGTAGTAACTATTTAATAAGTTAAAAGTTAAATAAAAGTTACAAATAATTTTTAATATCATGTAGTTAATTTTAAACTTTTTTTGAATTAAAGTTTTTTTATCTTACTAAATGCCAATACTATTTTCTATAAAATCTTAAACGTTAGGGAATTAGAGAGAGTTTAGAAAAAGCTAAATGTGATTGTATGATGGGCGCGACGCTTGTAGTGCTCAAAGATGAATGTAGTTGGATTTGCATTTAGAGAACGCTCTCACTGGATGCGTTCAAATTGATAAAGCAGCTAGTCCAGGCTAGTATGCTTGCCAAGCAAATGAATATAATTGATTATTATAGATCCAACCAATCGCATTCAATCGCTCGACGAGTATGTTAGCAGCTTTATCTAGCTTGAAAGCGCCCATTGCTATTGTGTTATTCTTGTTTTACTAATGAGTAATAAAGAAAGAGTAAATTTTTATTTCATATAGTTTTCAAAGAACTAGCAGGCATGGCCAGCATAACGAGGAATACAAGATAACACGTTTTTTTAAATTACATTTCTTTTTTCTTTTATAATAACAAAATACTTATGTAAAAATATTAAAAATTAGTTTTTTATTGTACAAGAAATATCTTTATTATTTCATATAATTTACAAATAAAGTATTAAAAAATGCATCCAAAGGATATGGGGGCATGCTCCCCCAATCCAATTAGGGAGAGTTGAAATAGGTACCAAATGAAATATCTCTATGAATTTAAAACAGGTATATAAGTAAATGGAACAATGCAATTTGCACGACAGTATAAACACTTGTTAAGCAACCCGACCCAACTTTGGTGAGGTCTTTTTTTACGATCCTTCAACAATCTCAAGTAATCTCAGACCAACTGTTTACCCCGGATCTACAATAGAGTTTTGAGCCTTAAGCCATAAGAAATGGGCGAATCACAGTCGATTACCCTCGGATTCGACTGTAATTGGCACCAATAGCAGCGAGCACTCACGGATCCGCTCCACAACAGTCGAGAATAGAGGTTTGTCGCGTCGCATGCTCCAACATGTTCCAATATGCTCCTACCATAGCTCCTACTCACTCCAACGCGCTTGATAGAGTGAGTAGGAGCTATGGTAGGAGCATGTTGGAGCTTGCGACGCGAACAAACCTTCTGCTGAACGCGAGCATTGTGTGTAGTAGGAGTAGACCGTGGAGGCGGCGGCCGTGCGCGTCGATCGGTCAGTCGGCTATTGACACATCGTCCCAATATGGCGGTAAGGTGGAAAACGTTCTCGCGCAGCGTGCGTCGTGATCTCATTCCTGTGCAGTGAGAATTTTCCCAGGTAATTGTCGCATTATTCACGTATGTTACAAATGGATGGTGGAGTCGCCCTGGCAGAACCTTTTACGTCTCTCTTCAGACTCTGTCCTGTCATATCCGTTTGGTCTGGTCTTGTCTGACGTGTGCGTTTAGAAAAACAATATGTGACACGTTAAATTATTAATAAGACGACTGCGGAGTAAACAAAAGGACCTTTAAATGGACAAAAGGATCAATCATTATTCAATCGAGTTTCTTTATGTGTTGTTTAAAGGGATAACTATAACTTCAGTTCAAGACCAACAACCTAGACACCATAAATTGACGGTTTTCTAATTTATTTTGTAAAATTCTATAGATTCCATGAATTGTAAATATATAATATCAATTTTGTGATAAATTGATTATACATTTATATCTTGTATTGCACTTAAATTAAAATTGTAGTTATTATCAAATTATCTAAATTGATCTTGTTTGTTTACTCTGTTTATTTATATAAGGAAGATTAATCTATTTTTTCCTTAAACTTTATATTAGTGTATAGATTGGATTAAGTAGAAGTAATCAAATGATAAATTTATTATTTGATAAATTTATTTCTTATCTTATTGTTAGAAAAGAAATTCAATGTAAAAGGACATCTTTAGGTTCCAAATACTGTCAGAAATCTTTTCGGAAAGTTTATAGAAAAATAATTGATTTATTGTAATTAATATATGTCTCTCCTTGTCATTTATTATATGTATTAAATTAGCATTATTTGAATTAATCAACACTGACTTGCTCCACTAGTTATCTATGTTATGTTGACTTTCATTATATGTTCATGGCGATTTTATAACACATTTTTATTTTTAGGTTTAATTTGAAATCTGTCACTGGTAGCTATAACCATGGTATGAGCCTTACATCAGATGAAGTAGTGTTAGACAATAATTAACATTCTTAATCGCTGTACCTTTACTTGGATCTCTTTGAAAGATGCCAAGTTTACGGAAGAAAGTTGCCGGTTTCATGCGCCAATTGTCTATCAGCAACTTGGCTGGGGCTGTAGAAAGTATAGGCCTAGGGGAACAGACACTTCGAAGCCCGCAGTCATTAACTCAGGATTTTCCTGGCGGCTGTTTCATCACGCGCTACCTCAACGGGTAAAAACGAGTTACATCCGAATATTTTCATATTTTTTTTTACTTATCTAATATGTTGCTCTAGTTAATACATCTACTTTAACGTTCTTAGACTAGAAACAAAACAAGAAGGACCACCAATTTTACACGGCCGAAATCCAGAAGAATTGCCAAGCAAACAAATCGACGTTTTTCAAGAAAATGAAGAAATATTTGCAGCCTACACTGGTCCTGATAGTGGTCTTACCGCGGTCAATCTTCAACAGAAACATTTAAGTATTAGCGATACTGACATTGATTACATTGATATGTTAGATCAAAATGAGCAATATAGAAGTGGTAAGTCTAAAGCAAAGATATTACTGAAATAGATTCTCATTTGTTACAAAATAAAACTACAAAAATTCTCTTAGGATCAACAACATCAAACATAACAATTGCTGGAGTTACCGATTGGTTTAGTCCTCACGAAAATGCATATGGAATTGCGACTACACTGTATGAGAAAAATCCTACAAACGACACCAGCAATGGAGAACCAATAGCCGATTGTTTTGGCATTGTAGCAAGACCAAACTCTGCCATACTGGCTCTTGCAGATGGAGTCAATTGGGGTAAAAACACAGATTTAAAAAAATAGATGTTCAAATTATAAAAGGCAAAGATAAAAAAAAGTTGGAGCACATGCAAAATAAAAGTTTTGTTTCACAGATGTATTTGTAACTTTCATATATATTCAATGAATACTCTTAAATTTTAAGTATTGAAAATTAATTAATATCTGATAGAAAATAACTGAAAAGAGAAAAATCTAATTTTTTTTCTTTATTTTATCTTTATTTATGTTTAGTCAGATTTAGCTTTTTTCCCTCTCTAATATTTTTCTTTTATTTTAATTTAACGTTGCAAGCGATATTTATAATTTGGAGTTTCAGGTACAAAAGCGAGTATAGCGGCCAGATCTGCAGTTCATGGAAGTATAGAGTATTTGAACCAGACTCTATTTTGTCCGTCTATTAATAGTGAAATGACAACGACAAAGGATGTATTTATAGCGTTACTTCGATCATTCCATGCAGCACATTCGATGATTCTTCAAGAACAAGGAATGCTTACTACCTTAACCGTATGCACCATCCTTCCACTGCCAAGTTCAAGTACTGATACAGATATATGCCAGAGAAAATATATTGCCTGTACCTGCAACGTTGGTGATAGTTTAGCTTATGTATATTCAGGGTATGTATTTCTTGTTATGTATTTACAAATTACAGCAGATAAATTAGGCTTATTTGATTATCGTCTCTTATGCAAAAACAAAACAGGAAAACTGGAGTAAGAGAGATAACGCGAGGATCTCACGATATTCATTGTATGAGAGACATGCGAGATGCCTTAGGAGCTCTAGGTCCAGTAGACGGTTCTAATCCCGAATTGAATAACTTGACGCTGGCTATAACAGAGGTCGAGAGAGGCGATATAGTGTTTTTGACGAGTGATGGAATTTCAGATAATTTTGATCCTGTGGTTGGAAAATTTGCAATTTTGCCTAATCACAGCAGCGGCGCTGATGCCACATTGAAAAGTCACGATGCGAGATTAAAAACTCGTCGAAGATCGACGGAAAATCTGCGGCATACTGAGTCTAGTAATAGTAATGTAAACAGCAACAATTTGCCAGTAGTTGAAGCTTACCAAAGGCACGAACTTACCCTGCTCAGAATGGAGGATCTGTTGAGACGCGGAGTTTCTGGAGAAGGACCGCCGTGCAACAGTGCCAAACATCTATGCGAACTTCTTTTGGACTTTGCGGTAACTATAAAATAAAAATATTTTTCGATATATTTATAATAGGTATAGATTGCGCATTCCCTAATCTCGATATCTGTGTTCTATTAGAATTGAACATATCAGCATCTCTTTTCAACTTGATACTATTCAGACCGGTTACAGTTATGGTCCGAGGCTACTCAACTTTCGGTTTCGGTATCGGTTCCAGTCCTTTCAGCGATAACGATGACCGTTACAGATATATAATCACTGAAAAGAACAGAAATCCAAATGGTCCCAATAATCATACAGTAAAAGAACTGAAACCAAAAGTTGTATTTAGCCTTGGACCGTTATCTGAACCGAAATTTATCAGTCTGATTCAAACTACCTCTTTCTAAACCGATAGTGATATACTTCACATAAATACGCAGTATATTTTTGTTATGTCTATGGGTTCATCGAGCAATATATTTACCAATTCCCACTTTGTGTCCACAGGTACGTATAACTGCAGCAAAGAGGCGAATCTTAGAAGACACGGAATTGTACTACGCACAACATAAAGACGGTCACCTCGTACAACTCTCAAAACACGAGCAGAGATCTCGAAGAAAAAAGACACTGGAGAAGATATCTATGATACCTGGCAAGCTAGACCACGCGACGGTTGTAGCATATGTAGTCGGACCCTGAATTTCGTCAAAGTGTAATTAATAATAGAGAGAGTATAGTTTTTATTCATATATAAAAATTGATTAAACTTTCTATATTGTAATATTCTTACCAAGCATTAATAAAAAGCGAATATATATCTTTTACAAGTCAATATCGAGTCAATTTATCTTTAGAATTAGTAAGTGTAATTAGAATGAAAAAAAAAACGCAAATTCCTAACATTGTTTTTGTATATCTCAAGTCTGTCAAACAGTATAATTTAGTACGAATTATATATTTGTATCAATATAGATTAACTTTAATCTGTCTGTTTAATTTATTTTCTAATCTTTTTTCTCTAGTTCTAAGAATCAGAGAAAGATAAAATGTTGATTGCTATTTCAAGGCAAGCCCTATAAGAACATACAGAAAAGTTATAATAATCTGTAGTAAAAGTATAAGAGAAAACAAGAAAAACTAGTAACAAATATGTAATATGAAAAATTTAAGCTAATAATATATCAAGAAAATACATAAAAATGAAATAAATGATAAAGAGTAAACTTAAATGATACGAAAATTATATTATATCGGAAATTATATAGGGAAATGGACTAATTCGTAAAATTACTAGAAATGTAGTCCTAATTTTAATAAAGCCTACAGTGTGCTATATATTTTTTTCGCATTAGATCGCATACGATCCAAATAATCGCATACGATCCAACGGGATCTCGTGTGCTGTTAGTGTGCAAAAACCGGCACGTTTGCTACATTTCGCTTTCTCTCCGAATGTTTTTTCATGCCTGTCTTTCGTTTCCTACCTCCGTGATCATTCGTGAACGCAAAAAGTTGCGGCGCCTCGACGCGGGGCGCCACCAGTGGCGCAGACTGGGGCCTTATAGTGCCGCGCCAATGGCAGCCTTGACAAATACATGATGGCCGTTGCCACCGAATAGTGTAACGCGTACATGGTACTGTCGTGTAACTGAAAAGTTTATTATTTTCAGTGGAGTATCGTCGTCGCGCGTGCTCCGTGTGCGTTGTTTTCCTCTCGGCGAGGTGCGGCGGATCGCGCCGGAACGCGGGATCGCGTGCAGCGAAATCGCGCGCGATCGTGAAAATTCCCAGGAGGAAAACACGGGGTGGCAAAACCGCGTTCGCGTAGGTAATATTGACAATTTTTCGTCACGACGCTACGCGCATTTTTGCGCGTCGGCCACCGAACGCGCGCGTCGCGGCGTCGCACGCCGGCACCCTCGGCCTACCGGAGACCGTGATTTTCCCCGAATCCCAGCGGTTTCTTTTGTTTACGCCTTGTCAGTCGGGCCTTTTGTTGTGTGCAATCCGCGCGCCGCTTGCACCCGTGAGTGAGAGTGAGCCGTGTGTGATTCTCAATTCGTATGCATGTGTTGGTGGCTTGTGTGGCACGTATCTCGCACACAGGCGCGCATAGTTATAACCTCAAAATATGTTTCCAGCTGGCGAATTCTCGTACGAGCCTCCCGAAATCTTTCACCGGGATCTTTCAGCCCCATAGAATTATCGTATGGGCTGGAGAGATCACTATTATCCCGAAACACAGCGGCTCTCGTTCGCTCGTGACATGTTACACCGTTTCCCAGATCTCTCGCGTACCCCCCAAGGCGAACCCGAGAATCTCGCGATTCAGGCCAATTTAATCGCGATAGAATCCGCAGAGAGCGTCTAGATATTCGATTTTTTACGTAAATACTCTATTCGTGATAGTTAATGAAGTCTCCGCTTTTTCTTTGCAGGACTGAAATCGGTAGCAAAACCTGTGCCAGTAAAAAGTCTAGTGTGCTTAGCCACGTAAACGTCATTTTTATTGAGAGAAAACGATTATTCCGGCGGATATCTTGTGAGTAAAGGCATAAAGTTATGACATTACACTCACGACAATTGATAAGTATTCAATAATGTCTGTGGGTTACTTCCTGGACTTGGGATAGCGCGTAACACAAATGAACTGTTATTTACTGCTTAAGTACTGTTAATATCGTTCTCCGTGCATATTGAATGTGTTGTCATGGACAAATGTAGTGACGCTACATTTATAAATGGATAAGATCCTGCAGCAGATGCACTTTAAATATAAGTCAGGATATATCCACAATGCAATTGTGCAGTTGTTTTTTAATGGATAAAGTAGTTCGAGAGAGAACTACTTTCTGTATACTACAAAGCAATGCCTATAATGGCCACGAATGGTTAGTGCTGAAACAAGATTTTTAAAAGTGACATTAAATAATATACTTGGATACAAGTATTTTAAAGAATTGACACAGTGCTGCCTAAGCTTCGGAAGAAATTGTATGCATGTCAGGAACAGGAGACGTAGGTCGCAGACGTGTTGAGTGGCGCCGAAACGCCAATATTGCTCTCTGCAACTGTTGAATAATTTTGGTAAATATGTGTATTAATAATGTATATATTTTAATTAATAAATAAATAATTTCTCAGATATTAAATGTAAGCATTAAAGATACAGCTTCGACTATTATGGGCCTTTATTTCCTATTGATTCTGTTTTCACATATATAATCCACTAAGAGTCTTATTGTTAAATATAAAATATCTTGAATACTTTTGTTATATAAACATATTTTAACTATATATATTTATTAAATTACTATTGGTTTTATTCAGTATGTATCAGTTTTATGAAATATATCATTTTTTTGCACAAATCAATCTGATTGCTGATGGTTATAATCATTTATATGTTATGTTTATTTTATAAAATAATTTCTCGTGAATCTCTTTCTCTCTCTTTGAACTTGTAAGATAAATGAAATTGTGTATTTTATATTAATAGGAAAGAACCAAATAAGCTGGATAGGTGGCTAGACGCTACCCATAGTAAAGAGGGGCTGCGTGGGCATGCAGCAGCCTCAGTCACGCCCTCTTCTTGGGGACTCAGTATCCTCTACAACTTCCCCGAATGCGCGTCATAATAATCCAGTTACTGTTTTGACCCAACAACAAGTAAGATTTTATTTATGTAGAAACATATTAATTTGCTTGTTATTTGATGTTCCTATGATCTTTTTATATATCTCTCCTTCCAAGTTTCAAATATCTGTATAGTTATTTTACTTGAAATCTAGAAAATATAAAAAAGTCATAATTAATAGATCTTATTAAAAAAAATCTCTTATTTGTCATTTTTATTGCAGTTGCAGCAATTGCAACAATTACAAGCCCAGAATAGCAGTGGCCAGTCGCTGACATTTGCTTTGCAACAGACATCAAATAATGTAAGCTATTTTTATTAGCAAGCACATTTTATCGATTATCATTCTGAAAAATATCATTCTAATGTCATTACTTATTCTTGCAGCCACAAGAGCAAGGAAATGGGTCGGCAACTGGAAATCACATAGTCTACGTAAATCAGTTGAATCAATTGAATCAGAGTACCATAAATCCCTCGGGGACTGGTATGGGCCTACCCCCGGCCACCCCCACTTTTGGGGTGGGCCTTAATATGGGATTGCCACTATCACTTCTAAATACCAGTCTTACATCTCTCACATCCAATGTTATCACCACATCAAATCCTCTGCTGAATTTGGGCTTGCCAAGTATAAGCACAGGGCTAACCACGATAAATCCTAGCCTGAATCACTTAAATGCTATCAATTCCAATCTAACGTCCAACATTGGTTCAAACAATATCAATAACAGTTTGTCCAACTTGGGACAAGATTTAAATAGCATTAATACGGGAGTAAATACTGGAATAAACAGGCTCAATACAATAAATTCTACGAATATCAATTCTGGGCTATCTGGAGTAAATACTGGACTAACTGGTCCAAATTTGACAAATCTAAACTCATCGAGCGTAAATCAGAATCTTACTGCATTGAATACCAATTTAACTGTCGCGAATTCCGGCGTGTCTGGTTTATCTGCAATTAATCCAAATACAAATTTGACTACTACCAGTATAAATTCTGGTGTAAATCAAGGTCTTAATCGACCTGTAAATGCCCTGGCAACTGGTTTGACACCAACTAGTTTGAATTCTAGCAGTGCACAGTTTCCATTCCAAACGATACAGAGCATTCAGACTATTGCACCACATATTGTTGCCTCATCAAATATAGCACATGTACCAAACTCTGCTATATCGCAACATCCTAATTCAAACATCTCAACAATCTCACAAATCTCTAATTCTGGAACTCTGACTAGTTCCAGCATATTCACAAGCACTCCCAGTGAATCGATTCATGCAACCACTGCAAATGTGAATCACGCTTCGAACGTGAATCTCACTACAAACATACCGCACCTTGGTACAATGCACCCTAATTTATCAAATATATCGACATCAAATGTACAACATATATCCGCATCTAATGAACCGACCATGTCATTGAGTCATGTTTCTTCTTTAAGTTCCTCCCAGTCAACTGGATTTCAACCACAGCGACAATATTCACAGGGGATAAGCCCTGGGTTAAATGCATCAGTCGCATTAACAGGCACAACACAACCGTCGAATGTGGTCAGTACTATGAATACTGTTAAGTCTATGCAAAATATTCAAGGTCAAAACATTAGTTCGCCGGGTAGTCCGTTTTCAATACCCTTGAAAAGTCCAGCGTCTAATATAGCACCACCTACACCGAGTCCTAGCCCTAATCGACTTTTACTTAGAAGTCCGGCTTCGAACTCGATACAGTCCAATCGGAATAGTCCAAGCCCAGTCAGCACGTCGACTTCGAACAGTAACTTTAACATGCAGATGCAAAGCCCCATGCAGAGTCCGATGAGTGTTAGCCAAATACAGAGCCCTGTACTTAGCCCGTATCCCCCTGCAAAAAGCCCTCATCTATTAAGCGGGAGTAATTCTCTCAACAATAGAAGCCCAGCACCTGGAGGTAGCCCTGGTCCACCTGTGGTAAGAATACTTACAAAAATTTAGAAATTAAACTTTGCTCTAATTCCTTATTTTTTTTTTTTTTTTTAATGTAAGATATATTTTAGTGATTTTGTTGGAATATATATATATATCCGTTAATATCTCTAAGTTTATTTTTTCTTTTTACGTTTCAATTTTGTTTTATTT